AATTTCTTATTTGCCAGCCGAGATAAGTATTTATCCCCTAAATAATAACTTTGAATGTCAATTATGCCTGCGGTTAAGTGAAGAATAAAAGAAGTTAGGGCTACTGGAGTCATTGTCTGTGATACCAAGGAAGAAACTCTACGCCGAGTTAGAGAATTAAAAAATGAGGTAGAGAGAGGTCATGCGGTGGTGCATGACGAGCATGGGCAGTTTGAAATCACGGAATAAAAAAAGTGGGGTTCGACTAGACCTGGCGGTCAGAATTAGTCATTAGGGGAGTTTAATACTTCCCTAGAATAAGTAATATAAGAAAAAAATAAATAGAGAAGTATTTACTTCCATTTAAAGCAAAATCAATATTAAATACTATGAATAAAAATCAGAATTTTTTAAAAAATAAGGTAAAAGAAACTACCAAAAAAAGGTAAAGAAAAAATTAACCAAACTCGTCAGAGTTCGGCTTGACAAAAAACCAAAGGAGCTGTTAAGAAAGGTGTTGAGATTGCTGGCTCTCATTTGGCAACTACCAAAGCCTCCATTGTTTTATCCAATAAGGAAGCAGAATTGATGGAAAATTTGAAAAGTAGGTTAAATAAAAGAGGTGTTTATCCCTCCAAAAGTGAAGTGCTACGGGCAGGATTATGAAGTTTAAGGAACAAGAATGAAGAAGAATTAGAAGAATCAGTAAAAGATTTATTTAAAGTGAAGCAGATGAGGGTTCTTTAACATAAAAAAAGCGGATAGTGTTAGAAAAAAATGAAACCAAAAGCATTTATTTTGACTTATCAAATCAATATAAATTAATATCAACCAATATGACAGATTTACACATTAAAATTAAGAATCAGAAAAATAAGAGCGAAGAAAGCGGTAAAAAATGAGCGGTTTATGAATTAGAAGAAAAAGTTGAATATGGAGATGACGATTATTCAGAAATCAAATTAGAGTATGATGTAGACAAGAAATTAGAACGTTTGCAACCAGGCAAAGACCTTGTTCTGCAAATATTTGCGGACAATAAAACCAGAGAAGAAGGAAATATATTAGTAATTCCCCAGTCATGGAACGCAAAAAAGACTGTTTTGCAGGACATAAAAGATAAATCTAATGAAGGAATAAAAAATATTGGTGATAAAACTGGAAGTGATACTTTAAAAAATGTGGCAAATGAGGGCAAATATTGATGGGCGATGCCGGTGGCAATCATTACCAGCACACTAATTCTTGGATTAAAAGTTTATTGGACAATAAAAGGAATGTTCCCACAGGATGAACAAAAAAAAAAAAAAAAAAACAATAATGGATTTTAAATTAAAAAATTCTTACTTTTTAAAAAAGTAATTTTTAACATAATCCTTAAAAATTTATATAAATCATTATTACAAGAATATGAGCAATAGAAATATAATAAAAAGAAATAACCAATATAAAGGACTAAAACATTTACAACGAACACTCGATAATTTTTTTAATGATGTTTGATGACCAACACCAGGGCTAGGCGAAGTATGAGAGGAATTTCAACCCCAAAGTAAACTGACTGAAGATAAAGACAAATACCTGTTAGAAATCAATTTGCCGGGAGTGAAAAAAGAGGATGTCAAGATTGAAGTAGAAGAAAATATTATCAGAGTCAGTGGTGAAAGGAAAGAAGAGAAAAAACAAGATGACGCTAAACAACATTATTCAGAAATTTTCTACGGAAAATTTTATCGGGAATTTGTTCTCCCAACTCTAGTTAAGAAAGAAAAAGTTAAGGCGAATTATGAGAATGGAGTATTGACTATAACCGCTTTCAAAGATTCTCAAAGCCACGCCCATCAAGTTAATATTGAGTAAAATAATATATTATGGCAGTCCCAGCCCGAAGAAAGTCCTCCACACGCATTAAAAAAGGTCGCGGACCAAAGAGTTGAAGTTTTCACCAAAAGGCTCTTAATCAGCCTTTAGTAAAATGTGTTAGTTGTCAAAAAACGAAGATGCTTCACCATATTTGTCCACATTGTTCGAATTATCGAACTAGTTCTCACTCAGAAGTAAAAAAGTAAAATATATATAATGATAAAGGTTCGAACAAGATGAAACGAAAATAATTAATTAAAACATAAAATAAATAAACTATATATATATATATATATATATATATGACAGAAACTAAAATTACATTTACAACAACAAAAATTAATAGTGGGTTCCCTATCATAGTCGAAATTAACGAAATAGATTTTCCAACTGGTAAGGGTGATGAAAAGGCCAAAATTACAAAAATATCTTTTACGGGAAATGAAAGCGTGAAGGGTGTTTTTGAGGCTAATAAAACTTATCAGATGACTTTTGACGACCAGGATGTGGAGGATGACCGACAACCGACTATGACTCAGAACACTGCCAGTGCGGGTGGATTTGCTTTTGGTCCCGGTGATAAACTTCCTAACCATTTAGTTCTAGAATCGGACAATGATTTAAGAGTAGTTTATCACAACAAGGACAAATTACAAATCGCCGAGCAAAGTTCCCAAGGCTCCCAAAGTGGTGAAAGTGGAGAAGGGCCGACGGAAACAAAAGACACAGGAAATAGTCAACCATCCGGCGGCAATTCGCAAAATGAGGAAGCGACGAACGGAAATGACAAAGGAAACTCTTGAACAAGATTAGGAAAAGACAATTCTGAAGATACTTCTAACTCCAACCAAGGAAATGATAATGACAACCAAACTCCCCCTCCCAATAATCAACCAACTCAGGAGGAAATTAATGAAAATCGAGAAAAATTGAACCAAGCCGCCCAAGGCAGTGATAAGGAAAAAATATCTGATTCCATTGAAAAAAACGAGGAATTAAAAGACAAAGGAGCCAAGCAGTCTGAAGAGGACAAGGCTGCTGAGGAAGCCGCACGGAAAAAATTAGCGGAAGACAAAAAGAAATATCAAGAAACCATTGCTAAGACAATCAAAAACAGACTGGAAGCCAACGGTGTGAAAAAAGATGAATTAAGCACCGAAGCAAACACTAATTTAGAGAAATTAGAAGGTGAGGAAATTATTGAACCAAGTCAGGTGGATGCCGCCGAAAAGATAATAGTTGAAGACACTTATAAAAAAGCCGCTGAGAAAAAGTTAACTGATTTGGAAAATAAAGTCAACCAAGCCACAAAAAGTAAAAATGAGAAAGAATTGAAAAAGTTAAAGCAAATGTTATCTCAATTTATTGACAATGCGAATTACCAATCAAAAAAATCTGAGGCTGAATCATTAATAAAAAAAATAGAAAACACTCTAAAACAAAGTAGTAATTCTAGCGAATCAAAGGGTAATAAAAATGATATTCCTTGAAAAGTAGTTATTCCAGTTGCTCTGGTAGGAGTTGCCTTTCTAATTGGAGCAATTATTTATACTCGTAAAAGAAAATTAAAAAATAGTTAAAAAGTTCGAAAAAAAAGAGTACTTTAGATAACAGAGGGGAAGCGTCCCCTCTCTGCTCTGCGAATCTTTATTATATGCCGACCAAGGTCCTTTATAAGAAAAACACAAAAAATAATTTCGAATACCTTATTATTAAGGACCATGCTAATTTTGCTGACAAAGGTCAAGATATTGTTTGTGCGGCGATTTCGGCTATTACTAACGGCACGGCTAATTTTCTTCAAACTCATTACAGAAATGATTGTAAAATTTCTTATTTGCCAGCCGAGATAAGTATTTATCCCCTAAATAATAACTTTGAATGTCAATTATGCCTGCGGTTAA